CTGGCCCTCTCTCCCACCTCTAGTCTGCAATGGGTGGGATCTGCTCCTAGCTCTGCTGCTGACCCACTAAGGCTTCTGCTGGGAATAACCATGCTGGGCAGATTGTTTCATTCAGCACAGCACTGAGCAAATTGCATCTAGCTAGGTGTGATGCTGGGAGGTGCTGTAACTCTGAGAAAACTCTCCAAGGAATAACTCTTTCCCTTTGGTCTCGGGGGCAAGAAGTAGCAGTACATTTTAGTTTGTTCAAGGACCAGGTAGCCCAAACAAGGGGTCTTACTGCAAAAAAAGAAAGCCTAGCCCACTACACCCACTTGCCTTGTAATAGCAGCATCTGGTTCTTTCACCACGAGATTTCAAAGTGCTTTATTATGGAGGTGAGTATCATTGACCTCATTTCACAGACAGAAAAGTAGGCCTCTGTTTTTCCTAACCCATCTCCTATAGAAAAGGGAGGCAACTTGCTTAAGGTCACTGAGCAAGACAGGGGCAAAGCCACAAGTAAAAACCGAGTGTTGGTCCCAGTCCAAGTCCCAAGCCATTTGACTATACCAGAGCCCTCATAATGTATGTCAAGAGGGTACATTTTATTCATGTTTGCCAAGTGCTTTATAATTCTTGGACCCAAATTGGTTTATTTTCAATGACTTGAGTGAGGACAGGATTAGGCCATACAGAAGTATAAAGTTTCTTTGTCTTGAAAAAGTGATCTTGTCACATTGCTTTGGGCTCTCAGTTCAGGTTTTTAAAATCCCTGATAATCCATAGAATTCCTTTTTTTTTTTTAACAATAACGAAAACCAGATTTTTTTTAAATGTAAACATTCCTCTCCAGTGTCCTGGAAAAAGTTATGCTGACACGTATTTGTCTGTATACCTCTCCAGATGTTTGGACCATAGTCAGAACAGTACTCCACTGCTTGAAAAGTAGAAACTGAGATGTAGTTTGGGTTTTGTTTGTCTGAAGTCAAGATAGATTTGCACTTTCTGGACTAATCCAGCAGTTCCCAAACTCTGACAGATTGTGCACCACCAATTTAAAATGGTACAACTTTGAAGCAATTTTTTTCAGTTCAACCTTAAGTACCACTAGCAAAATTTTGTCACATAAAATAACTATAATAAATTTGTTAACATGTACCACTGACAGCTTGTCTGTGCACCACTGATGGTACGCGTACCACAGATTGGGAACCGCTGGGCTAATCAAAGCATGCTCACATCTATGTGTGCATGTGTATAGATACAGATGTAGATATATAGATACAGATACAAAGTGAGCTTTTGTGAGCTGAAGCTCACTTCATCAGAGGCAATGAATTACAAATTACAAATTGAAATGGGCTGGAACAAATTAATCGATTTTTGCTCTCGATGTAAGTGCAACAGTGGTGAAAAGCAAGGCTGCCTCTTGCATGTTTAAGTCTGTTATCTGCTGTGTCATTTTCTGTGTTGTCATTCAGTCATCCAGGACAAAGTTGAGCACGTGTTCCCCTCATTTCTTGTCTGTGATGAAGATCTCTGTTGCCTATTCTGTGGTTGAAAGATCTGATGTGTATAGTGGGAAGGATAACTTTTTCCCTTGCCGTTGAAAGAACATTTTTTCCCTTTTTGTGTTTACTGTCTCATTAAAACTGCTGGTAGAAAAGAGGTGGGTTTTCTCCAAAAATCTCCACTTCTTGACCTTTCAAACTCACTGGAGAAAGACAAAACATTGGAACTGTAATAAAAGGGATGTTGTTTTATGGAAAAAGTAATTATCAGTTAGAAAGACAGAAACAAGCTAGAAAAAGGTTGTTAGCCTTTTCCTTCTGGCAATGTAAAGGGATACAGTCAATTTAAAAATCATATTTTGGAAGCAAATACAATTTCTCAGCCTATTAATTTATACTGTAAAAAGGGAAAGAATATTAAAAATAAAGTTTTCTCTTCAATTTTTATGTTGTTTCTTTATTTTGTTTCCTCACAGTTTGGACAATGGCTAGTAATAGAGTTAGTTGAATGTTTGCTTTTAAGTAGATTTCTTTCAGATTTTCAGTCCTGCAATATTTGAGTTGCTGATTCTAAAAAAGGAATATGTTTATTTTAAAACAACTTTCTCTTAGAAAGTTTTTAAAGCCACATGACTATTTCTGTCAGTCTTCATAAAAAAAATTATTTGTTTGTAAGCTAAACATTGAGCTCAATTTGCCTTGCTAATGTCTTTTAACCACTTTCTATTTGGGGACAGATGTAACGAATGGAGGAATTGTATTAACAGCAAGACCCACATACTTGCAAACACATTAAGAGCTTTGCTAAAACAGAAATAGCCAGCAGCTAATGGTATCTTTTAGTTTCTAAGCTGTGGATGTTTTATTTATTTGGTGAAGGAAAGAAAAATTGTGAATGTAGCTGCTCTTATTTGTTGTGTTTTGGGGCAAGCAGTGTAAATTCAGAATGTTTGCTGGCTAGTCCAAATCCTTTTAGATCGGTGGTGCCCACCCAGTGTTTGGACTCCACGGACTAGAAGAATGGCACAGGGTCAGTCCACGGGCTGGATTTGACCCCATGCACTGGGATTGGGTCTTGTACTGCCCCTGCTGTCTGGATCAAGCCCTGGGGCCCCACACCACCCCTGCCTGACCCCATGCACTGGGATTGGGGCCTCACGCCAAGTCCGCTTGGTCCTATGTGCTGGAATCAAGGCCCTTCCTGCCCTCACTCAGCCCCACACACCAGGATTGAGGTTCTGGGGCTCCATGTGTTGGAATCAGTCTCCAAGGCCCCTTATAACCACCAAGTGGCTCCATGTGCCAGGATCAGGCCCTGACGGTACCTCCATCCAACCCTGTGTGCTGGAATGGGGGCTCTGCATTGCCCCCCTGCAGCCCCATGTTCTGGTATTGGGGCCTTGAGTCCTCCCGCACCAGGATTGGGCCCTGCATGCCCAGTTAAGCCCACGAGGCCCCCATGTACCCAGATGACCCAGCACTGAGGCCTGGGTCTGGCCTGCAGCCTTGGGGCTGAGCCCCCTGTTTTACATTGTTCACCAAACTCGCACTCATTCCAAACAATTTTTGGATGATTTCTTAATTCTGTCAGCTCTCTGCATAGCAGAGGACAGCTCACAGAGTCTCTCCATGTGGAGGTAAGTGTTTTGTCCAGCTAAGGAACATTTCAGGCAAGGAAAACTTGTCATGTGAAATAAGAGAGATCAGAGAAAAGCAGCATTCCTTTACATATCATATACTGTGAAGTTTATGAAAACCTCAGTGTCCTAACAAGGCTTAGACTGCAGTGAAGTTCAGCTTCATTCAGATTTCTGAACCAGACCTATGTTGCCCTTCTTAAATCATTCACCTGGGATAAAAGGAAACAGTTTATCCCTTCTTCAAAGGATGTTTTCCTTCCAGATGAAGCCCTGACTGGTGTTATGTGAGACATGGGAAGTTTAATAGTATATCTTTGCAACAGATATTTCTCCAAGGTGGTTGATAATACATATGGCCACGTGTGCTACAGAGCATGCCCCGTCCTAATAGTTATCTTCATTTTATTACATGAGTATTATTTTCTTTGGGGTCAAAACTGACACAATTTAAATTCCATCTACCTGCAAGGGGAATTCAGCCGTATTCCATGGTCACTGTGAGCCAGCTAGGCTGTTTCAAAACTGACTTCAAAGGACCTGGAAGGTCCCCAAGGAAAGACCCTGGTACAAAGCTCCTTCCTGTTCTGCATGGGATTGGCCACAAAGGCTCTTTATTCCTCCAGTGAGAGCTCCCCATGCAATGCGCATGCTGTGATCAGGAGGTGGAGCTAAGGAACATTCGTAGCTATTTTCCTTGCAGCCACATAGCCCAATTGGCCATGGCAACCTGAACGCAATTTAGGGTGGCCCTAGTGCCTGCTACAATGATCCCAAATTTCTCTTTCCTCCCTTCCCCACTGGGAACCTCAAGATACAGATGATATGAGCTGTCCTCCAACATCCCTATGTTGGGCTCTGCAGTAACACAAGCATGGGTTCAGATCTGTTTATTAATCAGAATTGTAACCTTTCCCATTAAAAATCTGCACTGCACACCTGGAAGGGAAGCCAGTCCTGAGCATCAGGCACAGCTGAAGTGTGTTCCCACTAGCTATCTCTTCTCAGAAATAAAGATTAATAAATTAACTGAGAGATGTAATTAGCCATGCTAGACTGAACTTACACAGAAGGGAGAACAGGGTGGCACCTTATTGATTAATTCACTCAGAGAGGCATGAACTTTCATGGGTTACAGCCTACTTCATCAGATGCTAGTCCATTCATAGCATGCCAAAATAGACTGTAGCCTATGAAAACTCATACCTCTTTGAATGAGTTAGTCTATAAGATGCTACCCTGCTCTGCTTTCTGACAAATTAATAGAATTAAAGGACATCTATACACATGCCAGACATTTGCTCTGATTTGTGCTATTTAGCATGCATTGGAGCAGACTCAATTAATCAAGTCTACTGGAGCTTGCTAAATAGTACGCTCCAGCAGCCTCCATGTTACGTGTATTCAGTGTCACCTCCCTGCACTTCAAAATAGCAGCAAGGGTGCTTTAACTAATGCTCGTTGAATGAGCTTTAGTTAAACCAAGCCCCCTGCCACTTTATAGCGTGGGATACTAAATACATGTGACGCTGTGTTTGCTTTAATTAGAGCAGCTCTTGGAGCCACTTTAATTAAAGCATGCTTCCCCCCTGCATCCTGGAACATATGTAAAGACACCCGAAGTGGCCTTCTATATTGGATCCAGGCAAAGAGCACTGCAGTAGTATTGTAGTAGATGAAAAAATGTAGATGTCTATGACTGTGGAGGGTGCCACCTCTGAGAATACAAGTTGCGACCTGCTGTCATCCTTTGTTTCTCCTCCAGCATCTCTCTGTTAACTTTTCTATTGCTGCCATGGATGTCTTGATTAATAAGGCGCCTGATGCTTCCACTAATAAACATGTTGCCATTCCCTTTTCTTCCTCACAGCTATGGGTGAATCAAGAAGACGGAGTAGAGGAAGGAACCAGCGAAGTACAGAATGGCCATTTGGATCCAAGTGCCGACTGCCTCTGTCTTGGCAGAACCCTTCAGAACCGAGACCAGATGAGAGCTAATGTGATCAATGAAATCATGAGCACAGAGCGCCACTATATCAAGCACCTCAAGGACATTTGTGAGGTATGTTGGGATTGTATTAAAGGTTCAGGATAGCAGTCTTCAAATATCTGAAAGGCTGCAATAAAGAAGAAGGGCAGTATACAATAGCTTTGATTTTCAGCAAAGCAGATTTAGATTAGATATGCAGTGCTTTACCAATGCACCATAATCCTGTGTCTTCAATACGTCTTGATTTCAGACTCCTCACATGCTTCTGACAGTGCAACACAATGCTGAAATGAAGCACAATCTGCTGTCCCCAGTCCTGGACTTCTGTGAAGCTCTATCAGTTTACCTTAGTCCTGCCTTGAAGTCCCCACTGCTGTGTGCAGTACTGCCCCCTCACACTATTCATGATGTGGATCAGGCTGCAGGCCTTCCTCATGCCATTGTACCCCTTTTGAATTTACTTTCACCCTGATTTTGACCTTCTCCTGCTGATGGGGAGTTCTCAAATTCTCCTACCTACGTTCTTAACGGAGACAGGCATCTGTAGCAAATTGTCCTATGCTTGTCACTGTTGTGCGTAAAAACTTAAACTGAGGGCTCTCCAATGTTTTCACCTGGTAAAGTGAGGGTCTATTTCTTTTGAATTAGATGGATTAGGTTCCAGAAAGTTTAATGTGTGGAAAACATTCAGATGAATCCTGATTAAAAACCAAGGTGCTGTTGACTATGTGTGGTCATTAGAAATCCTAGGATAATGTTTTATGCGGGGCAATTTTTGGATTACCTTTTCCATTGATCATGCATTCCTCTCCTCTCACTACTGTCCAGCTGTGCAATGCTTGCCTCTCTATTCCTGCAGAGGTTGAGTGGCTGCCTTTCTTCCGTTGTGTGCGAATCCATGTGCTTATGTGTGTGTAATAGCGAAGCAGTATCTCTAAGTAAGGATTGAAGTTTCTGAGCATTTTCAACTAAATCTGCTAGTTAATTTGAGTTTATAATAATTAGACAATGGGACCTTTAAGAAAATGTTCCCATCATTTTTATTTTGACTAACAAATGCCTGGATTGTTATCCTTCAAACATGCCCTATAATTAAAACTCATTGCCAGCTACTTCTGAATATACGTTTGAAGCAATGAGGTTGTAATTAAGCAAAGTTATTAGCAATTTTTTTCACCATTTTCCCTATTATGTTCACAACATTTCCTTATTCAAAATGGCTGCTGTTTCTCCTTGTAAAGGTACTGAAGTGACTCATGCCCTGACTGCCCACGGAGTTTTCTCACTGTTTGAATTAAATGAATTATTTAATTATACTGTGTACAACTTGAAGAAAATTGCAGGCAGATTATCATTAGGGGTTCAAGCTGGACCTTTAGATTCTCAGCCTGGCCCTCCTTCATGGAGTTACAGTGGCTGTTATCTTCCATGTGGAATATTGCACACAGCTCATTAATCTTCTTCATTATATAACACGGAGCCGTAACTCGAACCTCAGGAACGTTAGTAAATATGCAAAATTAGACAAGGGCCCAAGTTAGGTGTCTCAAGTGTAGTGTGTTTACGGAGGAAAGTGTGATGATGTAATTAGCCTTTTGGGTGATACTGCAAGGAGGTTAATGTTTTGGGTACCATGTATACGTTTAACAGTGAGAAGCAGAAGGAAACTTGTTGTGGTGAAATGGAGTTGTTATTGTTGGAAGAACTGTTATTTAGTGGGCAATTAAGATATGCTTAGGAGGCGTCCTGTAACTTGCCATTTCCTTCTCTTTAGCAGTTGTTTTGGGAGGCTTGGAGGATGGCAAGTAGATTGAGGCCGCCTGTTAAACCCTTCTTAAAAGGAGTCTGTCTGTGGAATTAAAATTCATGCTTTCTCTTATATATCACCATATCCTCGCATGATGTAACTGGGGTAGCTGCACTGAGCTGTTTGTTTATCCCAAGCTGAGAATCCAGCACATACTTTCTCAGGTGTATTGAGATCAGTCAGGATAAAGGCACTATACAAATGCATTGATACTATGAACTTTGGTACCTTGGTACAGTCTGACAAATGGTTGGTGAATCACGCTAAAATTGAGATCGGGTTCCTAGTAATTGAAATTGGCTTCCTGCTGTCTACTAGAAGTTTAATAACAATAGCTTTCCTTTCCGACAGAAAAAATTCTACATTTTAAAAAGTTGATTTGTCTTAATTTGGGACAAAAAAAGGTTGTAATCACAAAATTTTGGTAGCAGAAACTCTAAGTAAAATTAGGAATTATCAAAGCAGTTTATGTTGGTAATTGCATATGTTTTGTTCTGATTTTGCTCACCTTTATATTTTAATTATTTTATTATAATCAGCATATATTTCTACAGAGGAAGTATTTTTGAACCAGAACATTGTTTTTTACTTTGAAGCATTGACATTTAGCATTTTGACAGTATGAAATTTTTAAACCTTTTTTTCAAGTTGAGAAATTTGTTGAAACTGACTTCTTTCCATGACAAGCTTCAAGTTTGAATTCTACCACAAAAACATATTGGCAAAAATAACTAACTCTTCTCTCTAAGCTAAATGTAGTCTTTTCTTCTGACATTTTGGGAAAAGCATGCAATGCCATTGAGGGATTGTGTTTTTATCACATGATTCACAGGCTCTTTTTTCCTCTTCACTACCCTCCTTCAGAGGATAGCGTTCTTGAGAGCTTGATTTGCTCCTTACTCTTAATGATCTCCAGTGAAGTCTATTACTTTGAACTCAGGCCACTGACAATTTTAAACATAAAATCACGTGTCCGGTCTTTGCAGAATTAATACTTTATGCCCATAAGGACTTTGAGTCACTTGATGTCTTCATTTACTTTAACCTGGCCTTGTCTTGGTGAGAAAGCAAAAATTCATCAAAACGGAAAATGGGAATTTCTGAAAGGGTGGAAGAGTTGTGAAATCTCGGTTAGAAGCCAATGAGTTTGATTCAGTTCTTGTTCTAGTTAGAAGTATTTGCATTGAAGAAGTGAAGTATTGTAACAGTTTTTCTATATATTATTTCTTTACCTCCACTGGTATTTTTTTATCTGATAAACCATGAATTTACTACTAGACAGCCTCTAATTAGGTCTTTTATTGGGCCAGATTGTCAGCTGGTTCAAGCAGACATCGCTCCACTGACTTTAGTGGACCTACACTGATTAAGGATCTGGTCCACTACATGGGAAGATGTGTGTCACCAAAACTCGTATCTTGCTCTGCATTGCACTAAGTGGAATTGAAGGATAAATCTTACCAGAAGGTGGAGTACTAAAAAGTGATACCAATGCTTTTTTTAAACCAGGGAAGACTGAAGTGAGCATTCTCATTTGCACAGTGATGGGCCATCCGTTGCTGGAAAGAAGCTCATCTTGCTTGAATTAAGCAGACAAATCAGAGCAATCTGTTTGCCCTGAGAAGGCTCTGAGACAGCTTGATCACTCCAGGCTGTATCCAAATAAGTTGACTTGACTGTGTGTTTTTGTGCTTTAGCAGAGTGTAGCTTGAGTTAAGAGCTAAGCAAGACAGCTTGATTTCCTATCTGTGCTACAGGGTGAACACAGGCAGAGGTGCTAACCTGTGCTGGGGAACGAACCTCCTTCTGACAACAAACTGACAAGGCACTGAAGTGTTGTTGACACTGCAAGTTTTATAAATTCCCCCTCATTCTTATTTATGGGACTGGAGGAAAAGCACAGCCTTGTTATAAATCAGGTAACATGAAAGCAAAAACCTGCCTGGCAGATGAAGGCGACGCATGCATTCGGATTGGGTATATCAGCATGAACCAGGTCTCATTTCTCATATATAACCAAAAACTTCTTGTAGAGTCGTTGAAACGTCTCAAGATGTGCATTTGTACTAGACTGCTGTTTGATTTGAGTGATTAAGGGCATTCAGCCTGTGGTGTCCTCTCTTAGAACATACCCAATGTCCAATAATGTATTATTATGCACTGTTATTATTACACTGAAAGTACCACATCGGAAGAACATTAAGGTCACTCAGTCAAGAACTCAAAAGCTAGGGAGTGCCAGAATTAAAATTGCCCGCTGCCTGAGCAGACTGAGATTTGTCAGAGGCATGTAACAAGGCCGAGTTTGGATGAATCTTCACAGGAACAGCAAAAGATACATCACGGACACCTTTGTCAAATATCATGCCCTTGCTGTAAAGCACGGTGGCACTAGCACTTCTCAGTTGAAGCATTGTAGGAATGTTTTAACACAGACAAAATAATGCATTTTCCTTACCTACATTATCAGAAATGCCTGAATCATTTTTTTTTAAATGTCACAAAAAATTTTAGCCTGAGGCAGACACCCAGCATGGAAAATTTCTGCTCAAACAGCTAGAGTTTGGCAAAGTAATAAGCAACTGAAAACAGGGTCTTCTAATGGGAAGTGTCAGGTAACCTTAACTGTAGGCGGCATTGCTAGCTCTACCTATGATACAACTCCATAGATGTGCACAGTATTATAAAGGTATTAGAAATGTAGTCCTTGCTTCCTAGTCTAAGGTTTTGATAGAGTAAATGTGCTGAGCACCTTCAGCTCTCGCTGATTTAAAGGGTAGAGAAGTAGGAGGAATCACGCTATGTACAGCATTGAGCATAAAGAGGAAAACTCCAAACTAAATGCAGAGAAATCCTGGAAAGCCAGTGCAGGGATTCAAACAGTGGAGGTTATATCATGAGAGCAATGGGCAAGGGAGGCGCTTTTAACTGTGACATTGTCTGCACTGAAGATGGAAGAGTGAGCTGTAGGATGATCAAAATGGAGGAGGCATGCTGGAGTTGAAAAGAGATGACTGATTACCCGGGGCAGTATTTTCCACATCAGGGTGCAGAATACAAATCAGATTAAACAAAGGTAGATAGGAGACGTGATAAAGCTTGGATAGGAAGACAGAAGAAAAGAAACATTTTTTTTAAGATAGCCCGTGTTATGAGTGACTTGGATGGATGACCTCTTCTCTGTCCTGAAGTCCTCACCCTAAAATTTTGCTCAAATCCAAGCACAGGAAAGCTCCAGGACGCGGACGATTTTCTTTTTTCTTTA